GCCCAAGGGATTCAAAACAACATCTCCTACCTCCTAGGAGTGAACCCTAACCATCAAGCCACAGCTGTTCCAGGATGGGGCACTTAATCCATCCTGAAATTGAAGGTGGACCCCAGTACAGAAAAGAAATGCAACAGCCATGAGGTCAGGAGCGGAACACATCTCCCTAGGTTTTGCATTTCCTAATTTTAGTTCTGGGCAGCTCCTTGCTCAGTATCCCAGGTGTTTTTGTATCATCCTTTTGAAACATCTGAACATCTCCTATGCACAGAGTCTCAACACTTAACTCAGTTTTGCACTCCATTCTGGGCCTGGATGCCTAAAGTTGGGTTTTGCAGCTCTAAATGTATAGGTATCGAAATCCTCTTTCATCTGTAGACTGAAAAGGAATTTTGTCTAACTGATGTTTTTAAGATATCAAACAGAGCAATAAAGATTTAAAGAAAAGACATCTTGATAAATGACCTGCTTTCTTGTCAGATTGACTCAGGCAATTTAACGATACATCTGAGCATAAGGGAAATATTTTGACTTAGGGATTTATTTCACAAGAAGCAAAGCATAAACGATAACATTGTAAAAATTCTTTATTTTTTATGGGGGTGGGGGTTCAGAGTAGCTTTCCTTCCAGGAGACATGAATAAACTATTTAGAAGTGTTTTGTCATTCTGAGGCTTATTAAAAATATTTGTTCCCAGGTTTTAAGACTAATAGCTTCCTTATAGGTGGAGGGCAGAATTTTCCCCGACTAATAAATAAAACCCCATAAGGTGAGGTGCCTTGGAATCAAGAGGCTAAGACATTCATTTCTAGCCATTCATTTCTAGGGTGGGGTTGGGGAAGATGCAACTGTACAATTATCACCATCAGATAATTGCAGAGGTGTGTGTGTGTGTGTGTGTGTGTGTGTGTGTGAATTGAGCTTGAGACCGCAAGATATGCTTATACTGCAATCAAAAACTGCAATGACAACACAACCAAACATACATGCTCATCTGGATGTGGCCTGAGTGGTCTGTGGACTTGCTAACAACAATAAGGGAAATTCCTGACAGAGAAACACTTTGGATCTAGGACTTTAGCCACCTGTCAATTTGAGTATGCTACCTTTTCCAAAACAAAAACTTGTCCTCCTATGCAAAACCAAAAATGCACACAGACATACAGACACACACACACACACACATGCACAGGTAAAAAGGCAGATTTAAAAATTAAGGTTACCCTTCCAAAGGATGCCACAATCACACTAGATAACCATAACTGTTGCCATAACTACACAATAGCAATAGTAGGAATTTAAACAATCATCAAGGGATATATGTGTCTATATAGATAATTATGTATTCAAATTCATTATCTTATTATATTGTTTTCTACTTAAAGGCATAAAATGTTTACCTCTAGGCATCTTGTAATTTAGAACTTTCCCCAAACCAAAAAAAAAACAGCAGTAGATTTTCTCTGGGTTTAAGCATGTTCTCACACAGGCGTGCACAAAGATGGGAAGGGGTGATGCCTGGACCCCAGAGGCCCAATCCCAGTAGAAGAGGGTGGTCAGTCCTTGCCCAGTCCTGGTATGCAGAGAAGGGAGAGAGTGATGTTGGACCCCAAGGCCTAATCTTGGCATAAAGATTCCATCCAGGCTATGGACAGGCTCTGGGCCACTCAGGTTGAGCCCCACTGTGTAAGTAATTGAAGTATAACAATGCCCTGTGGAGGATGGGCCAGAAATGGAGCAGCCTTTGGTCAACAGGAAAAGAACATGGTAGAATAACCACAAAAAAAAGTAAGTTGACATTTGAATAAGTTAAAGAACATATTTGCCTACAAACAGAAGTCACAAGATGTAAAGCATACCTTTTAATATTGCCTGGATTCTGAATACAATTAACACAAATTTTAAAACAATATTTTACAAGCCCTTTTAATCAGCTATGGTCAGCCTGAATCTAAAAAGCTCCATTAGGCTAGCATAATTAATGCATACCAGCTTGCATAGTCAAAAGAACACAAGGCAGTGATATGACTAGCATTTACATCCAGTCACTTCTGATGGCCCAGCTCAAAAAACTAGGTAGCATTTTGCAGCTGGGATAGTTAGGCATAGCCTTCAGGAAGAGTCCAGAGGAAAGCACAGACTCATACTCTGGAGCCTCAGTTTTTTTTGTCAGTATGCCTCTACAACCACTGTGGTCCTGAATATACCCTCACAGCACTCCTGTGAAGTGAGTGAATAGATTAATGCTATTTTTACAGTCTTAATAGATCCAGAAACAGATTAATGGTTTACTCTGCAGAGATACCCAAAGGAATTCCAGAGGAGCTAGCTGAGGTACCAGAAGCAGTATAGCCATTGCAGCACAATGACTCTGTGCATACTAATTTAACCTGTTTTCTCGCACCTGAGCTAGCTTATTTATTATCTTGGGAATCTCTGCACCAATTTTCAGTTCTAAGTATAGATGACACAAAGAGAAATTAAGTGACCTATCCAAGATCACACAGCAAAATTTTAACAAAACTGTGATTCCAGTTCATAAATTCTTATCTCATAATACCTGTCTAAGGGACACAGACTTAACATGATTTCACTATATAAAATAGTAGTAAGTATCATCACTGAATTTTGGAGAGCAAACTGACTTTCTGTGAGCACACCGTAAACTATCAAATGGTAGGCAGTACTGATAAGTATAATGCCCTTTCAAGGGGAAACTGAATGGTTCAGGTTATTCATTCTTTCGTTCCTAAACCAAATGCTCAAAATCTGTTACATTTTTACTGTTTTTATGAAAGACTCACATGACATGAGTTTACTTACCTATGAATGTGGATATGGATATCCATTCTCATCAAAATCTTTATATTTTATATTAATTAGCCGTGGATGATATTTCCATCAAGAGTTGCCTTGATGCAGAAGAAACTGTCATCTCATTGCCAGAGGCAGTTCTATAATAAAGCAATGGAGACATGCTTGTATGACAAAGTGATGAAGCACAACACAGTATAACATAACAGGTTTTGGATTCAAAGATCAGTTAAACTTATTGGGCACTTACACACATGCAGGGAGGTTGCTCTGACGCTGTAAATCCAGCACATTGGTGCACACTCAATTAATCAAGTCTGCTGGAATGTGGAAATGAATGGGCTCCAGCAGACTCCAGTGTCACATGTATCAGAGTCCCCACACTAAAAAATGACAGTGGGGCACTTTGAACTAAAGCTCATAGAACAACCTTTAGTTCAAAGCACCCCACCTCCATTTTTCAGCATGGGGATGCAGAATGCATGTGATGTTCAGGCACTTTTAATTAGCACAGCTTGCTAATTAAAGCAACCCCCTCTCTCCCCCACCCCGCCACCTCCTAAGCACCCCTAGTCTTCTAAATGTGTTTCATAAAAAAACAAACGAACAAAAAAATCCTAGTCTATCCAGCCCATGTTCAAGGCAACATCACCCTAGTCTATGTGTCTAACCCACTCCTGAAAGTTTCCAGGGACAGCTTCTCTAAATTGCCTCTTCCAATTCTTAATCATCCTGATAGTCAGAAATTTCTCCCTAATCTCCAACCTAAATTTCCTCCTCCTTTTATTTGAGGCCATTGCTCTTAGTCATGTCCCTTATAGCAACAGAGAAAAATATCTCCATTCTCTTTATAATGGCCCTTCAAATATTTGAAAACTTGTCAAATCCCCCCTCAGTCATCTGTTTTCCAGATTAAACAAACCTAATTCTTTAAGCATTTCCTCATAAATAATGTTTCACCTCAGTCAGTGTTTCACCTCAGTCACTCTGTGCTGAACTCTTTCCAATCTCTTCACATCTTTCTTGAAGTATGGAGCCCAAAACTGGACACACTATTCCAAGTAAGGCATTACCAGTGCCAAACAGAGTGGAAAACTCTCTTGAAAATAAAAAAAACTCAGTCATTGACGAGTCTCAGAACTGTCAAAAACTATTTCCTGAAGACTGTTAGATGGGAAGCAAGTTGGAGCAGGACCCTATGCAAGTGTTTAGGTACTTGTTTGGTAAAATGTAGCAGAGAGTGATATCTAGGATTCTACCTCCACTGAAACTTACTGGGCTATGTGGTGGAGCCTAGGGGCCCTGGGGATGACAGCTTCCCATTTCTTTGCAGTCCAAGCTTTGTAACTCCAGAGTTCTTGGGCAGCCTGCCAGGCTTACTGCCCCACATCTTGGGCTCTGTTTTCGCTCATGGGATGCATCTACATAGTTTCATAGTAGCTAGGGTCAGGAGGGACCTGAATAGATCATTTAGCCTGACCCCCTGCCACAGGCAGGAATGAATGCTGGGTTCACCAGACCCCAGGCAGGTGATCATCCAACCTCCTCTTGAATTTGCCCAAGGTAGTGGTGAGGACCACTTCCCTGGGAAGTTGGTTCCAGATTTTGGCCACCCTAACTGTAAAATATTTTTTGTCCCCAATGGACAGTGAGTTCGTGCCTGGTGCGCTTGTGCCAATAAACACACAGGGGTGAAGGATCCAACTTAATCTTTATTTCTGCACAGAAAGCGGTGCTTGGCAATCGTTCGCAAAGCAAGCATACCCACCCAAGTGGGCATCAGCCTTATATAGCTACGTGACAGGTTGAACTTGCTGATGTGGTAAATTGTGCAGCAAGCCCAGCAAGTAACCCCCCTTTCAACCCCCCCCAGGGACCTCGCTGTTAATGGCCTTGCCTTCTAGCAAGGCCAGCAATTAAGCAACTAGGCAACAAGCGATCTCTCCCAGCCTAAACAACCTACTCTATGCCCTTGGTTAGATAAAATACTTTTTCCAAACACACAAAGCTGTTCCCAAAGTATAAAAAAACATATAAAAGTTTCAAGGGTACTCATCATATCGACTTCTGATCTCTAACCTAAACCTATTCTCCATCAGCTTATTACCATTGTTCCTTGTCACCCCAGGTGGTGCTGGGGAGAAAAGAGCTCTGCCTATTTGCTGTTGATCCTCCTTGATTAGCTTGTAGGCAGCCACCCCCCCTCAGCCTCCTCTTGCTGAGGCTGAACAGGTTCAGGTCCTTCAGTCTCTCCTCGTAAGACCTGTCCTGCTGCCCTCTCACCAAGTGGGTGGCCCTCCTCTGAACCCTCCAGTCTGGCCATATCCCTTTTGAAGTGCGGTGCCCAGTACTGGACGCAGTACTCCAACTGCGGCCTGACCAAAGTCGCATAGAGGGGGAGAATCACTTCTCTGGACCAGCTTGAGATGCACCTTTGGATGCATAACAAGATATGGCTGGCCTTGCTGGCTGCGGTCTGGCATTGGTGGCTCATGTTCATCTTGGAGTCACAATAATGACTTCAAGATCCCTTTCTGCCTCTGTGCTTTCAAAAGGGGAACTCCCCAGCCTGTATGTATGCTGTGGATTCCTTCTCCCAAGGTGCAGCACCCTGCATTTGTCTATGTTGAACCCCATCCTATTCTCATCTGCCCACTTTTGTAGTCTGTCTAAATCTAGTTGCAGCCTCTGTCTCCCTTCAAGTGTGTCAACCTCGCCCCACAACCTAGTGTCATCAGCAAACTTGGACAGTGTGCTTTCCACCCCCTTGTCCAAATCACTGATGAAGATGTTAAACAGTGCGGGCCCGAGGACCGAGCCCTGAGGTACCCCACTGCTCACATCTCGTCAGGTAGAGTACAACCCATCCACTACTACTCTCTGGGTGTGCCCCATCAGCCAATTTTTTACCCATCCAACTGTGCAGGCATCAATAAAATGTTTGCCATGCAGTTGACTAATTAACTGTGCTGTAAACATCTCAGTGTCTACACATGCACCCCTATTAGGTGCAGGAAACTAATAAACTCTGCAGCAGGGTAGTACTTGTACAGGTACAGCAGGTAGGAAGTACCCTGCTGCAAAGATTCTTTGTCTATGGCAGCACAAGTGTAGATGCTGACACTGCTGGCTGAGGCATGAGGGTACTTCATTGAGGGGGCTGCCTGCTGACTAGCATTGAAATGGATCATTTTATGCCCCAGCCAGCTCCTCTGCAGCACACTGAGCCCAGTCAGAGCAGTCCCAGGTTGGCAGGCTGACCCTCTGGGTTCCCTGACAGCTGAGGTTGCTCCAACCCGGTTCAATGTACTGTGGTCTAGGCACATGTGTAGACACATGCCCAGTAGCAATACACTCCAGAGCTTATTGCTGTATGTTTATAGGCATGTGCACACATGTCCATGGGAGAATTTTGACACAAAAAGCAACATTTCAAAAGTAGAAAGAAATAAACACTCTCAAAATATATTAAAACTTCTGTGAAACAAAATTATTTTTTTCACACTAATTCAAACATTATTTTATTTATTCCTCTATCATATGTTTAATTTATTTTAATTTCTAAGTTAATAAACTTGCATTTTTCAAAACAATATGCAGTTTTACACTTGTATTTTGAATTAGGAAAATATTTACAAGTATAAAGGCATTGCTTACACTGATGAATATTAGAAGAAACTCCAAAGAAGATTCTGGATTAACAATGAAATAAAAAAAAAACAAGTATATTTGAGCAGAGAGTAATAATCAATCTTTTGGTTACAGCTGACTTTTTTTAGAAGTAGCAAAATATTAACTACACAAATCTGTATTTTGTATTTTAACACACTACTTCTATCTTTGCAGCAGCAGTACAGCATTGACAGTGTCTTTATCACCCTGCTTTACCTGTGGCAGGTAAGGTTATTCTTAGTATTTTGACAGCATGCCATGTAGTTGTACAAAAGGGTTGTACAGTTCATGGGTTCATACAGTTTTAAGAACAGGATGTTTAGGTAGGCTCAACCCTACCTTGAGCAGGGGTTGGAATAGATGACAGCCTGAGGTCTCTCCCAATCCTACTCTTAAAAGGGCTGTTATACACACCACGAGATTTGCTGTTTAAGGCACTGTGATTCTATGAATAAACCATAAGGTGAGCTCAGGTAAGGGATAGCCTATGAGCGGAACTGGTTTTATGAGCATGACCAAGAGATCCAAGAATTGATTGACTGCAAGTTCAAGGCTTTTTGTGTTTGGCAGAATGACATCAACTCCAAAGAAAAGAAACTGAATCACCAATGAGCCAAGGCAGTAGTCCAAAGGATGATCTGAAATATGAACAACAGACGCTGGAAAGACAAGGCAAAGGAGTTTCAACACCTTGCTGACATCCATAATATGACTTTTTTTTTCAGTGCCACCAAAGCCACCTATGGTCCAAGCACTCAGGGACCAACCCCCTTGAGACCTAGGGATGCAGGAGACCTGATCCAAGAAAGGGATCAGTTTCTGTTGGAAGGAGCATTTTGAAGACCTTTTCAATTGAGACTCTGCTGTTGATGAAAGTGTGCTCAACTCCATCCCAGAATACCCAGTCAGAAAAGATCCCTCCAACACCTGATGAAGTGAGGAAAGCCATCCAGCAGATGAAGAATGACAAGGCATCTGGAGCAGAAGGAATACCAACCAAAATCTTGAAGCAGGGGGGAGAGGAGCTCACATCAGAGCTCCATGTCCTCATCTTAGGGATCTGTAACACTGAGGAAAT